ATATGTATGTCATTCGACCCGAAACTCAATCCGTTGCAAACTGTACATATTGAATAATGAATTTTTATTCAACAATTTGATTGAGTTTCAACTGATAGAGAGACAGGTGCCGAAAGGGAAAATGCAAATATAATTTGGCTCGACAAGCTTGGAAATCCTCTGTGACATTCGACAATTCAATTGAACCATATTTACATATTCATAACGGTAGGCAAACAAATGTAAATATGCGTTGGCATATGCAAAAAAAAGTACAAGTGCTCTTTCAGCTGAAATTGGAAACTGATATATGTGAAGGAGGTTGAAGAGGTTTAACATTTTCAAAGTTTTGTTCCATGATATAAAGAATACTTGGATTACCTTTTAGTAACGTAATCCCCTTAAACCAGTCTCTTTAAGATATTTATTAGTGTAATAATTTATATGCACCTTAAATTCTTCTTAAATAAAATATACATCTTAAGACTTCATTGAAACTCGTTATGCTTGCTGACCAGGGAACATGCTACCTTAGGAACATATATATTGCATCATAAAAAACACATAAAAGCTGCTTGTACCCTGGGGTTAACTTTTCCTTATTGAAAATACATCAAACAAGAGGGCTGAAATTAGGTTGGTGTGATTACCCTAACATTCGCCCAGAACAGAAAAAGGTTATAGCAAGTTTCCAAAAGTTTCATGACGCGCAGTAGTTATAAAAGTACATGAATTTCTGTTGTTATAATATTCGGTCATATGTGTAAACATTATTTCCATTAAAAGGTAACCTTCAGGGTTTTATTAATCCCACAAACAGATGACAGCATTTATTGCAGGTATGCCACAAAATTGCTTCGGATGTGTCAAGACTAATATTTACTTTTCCTCTTACATTGGAATTATATTGAACAAGACGAAGCTTGTTTTCGTCTCCTTCTTTTTCACTGGGATTTCCATATCCCATTCGCCATCAGCCATCAGGATATACTTAAAGGACACGCGCTGTCACTTGACGTCCTACCTGTCGCGAGTGTAATTACACTCATTCCTGTACTCGAAATTCAGGTCGAGTACTCGGTCTCCATCACCACCCGTGGGCCAACCCATCCATGCTAATTATAATACCTGGGGTTCGTTGGCTTAAGTTGGCTTACATCTTAAATGAATGGGATTAGCCGGCAGCTTCTTTTCGGGGTCTTGTTTGCAAATCGATTTCAGTCAAGGTTTGCCTTATCGATATCGAAATCCAAGATATGTATATGGATAGATACTATCTATTAGATATGCGAAGCGGCTTGATGTGGGTACAGTCATGGAAATATTCATCGATTATGTGACAACATTTGGGGGCTTTTATTTAGCGGCAATGTTCTCTGGCTCTTTCCTTTGCCCTTCGGTTCCCTATTGTGTGTGTAATCTATTGAACATTTCTCGCTATTTTTTTCTGGTTCGTTCGCTATTTGCTATTATGTAAAATAGTTGTACGAGCGGAAAAGCAAGGTTAGGATGGGGATAGGTGGGTAGGGAGGAGGCCCAGCTAATGGTCATCAGCTCACATGTTTGGTTTTGCCAGTCGGTGGCGGCGATTAAACTTTGACTGTGACTTGTTTGCCTAGTTGGCCGGCAAGAGTACTTAACGGGAAGCTATATAATATCGGAGGTGTGTTCCACGAAAATCCGAGGTTAGTAAATTGGTTAATATAATGACTTTCGATTGCCTGGAATAAGCCTTGAGTCATCAGCAAAAGTTGCTTGCTTGTTTTCGTTGGTGTGTAAGGCGGGTGTTTCTTTATTTGCTGATCAATATTTGTAGATAACACTGGACTGGAGAATAGATCCATCATTTTTTCCGTATGTTAAGGAGACTTCTATTTACTCGAACACACATGTTCAGTGCAATTTGAAGAAGCTAAGGAATGTTTAGTGAATGTTTTGCTAAGCATTTAATTATTATTTGGAATTTGGTGTTGTGGTAAAACCAACAAGTTCTCTATTCCGAGTGAAGTTTATGATTTTTTTATAGGATAGCAATTGTAAGAAAGAAATCAAGCTTGAGTCTTTTGGTTTTTACTAAAATAATTAACTTAAAAAATATGGTTTAATTTTTGTTTGCTCAGTGTTGAACTGTGTAATAATTTTAATTGATTTTAAGATATCGATTCGAACATATATATTTATTGATTATATTTTTTAGCTTATTTAATTTATTATTTTTCAAACTTGCATTATTTTCTTGTCCAACATAAATTTGTTTTCTTCTACATCCCGGCTTATATCCTCCAAAACTTTGGCATTGCTGCCAACAAAAGTAGCTTTGGTTAAATGACAACTGACCCGGTTTTTATTCCTTGGCAGTCGGTACAATCACAACAAGCTCTTAAGTCGGTCAAAAGCTAATCACAGCTAACGAATCCCATTTCTCACCAACAAAAAACCTCTGATCGAAATTCAAATCTGGCTATAAATCCAACTTGGAACAATTTCAGAGGAGAAGGATTTCTCACACAGAAATTGAGGCTGATTTTCTAACATCTAAGGGGATGGAGGATGGAGGTAGAGAATAAGTTACTTACCGCCGCAAGGGGATGCGGGCGAGGAAGGACAACGAGGCAGCGGGAGGGGGTCGCGAAGGAAGCCCTCGATGAGGCTGGCGTTGCCTACTGACCCAGTTACCGTTACAGTTTAGTTACTGTTACAGTTTTGGCTTACTGTAGCGACAAATACCGTTGCGACCTCTTAAATGCTCGTTACCGTTGTCTTCAGCTATCTTGGATTGCTTTGTTTAATATTTAATATTTATGTATTATTTTGTATAGATGGGTTCGATTTGGCAGTGTTTGGTTGTGGAGTCCTCGGAGATTGATTGATTGGTTTATTTTTAAATTCTTTATCGATTTACACCTTGGCGGTTTGCAGAGCTCATTAGCGCCAGGTAAAAATCATCAGCATTTGCTATTTATTTAATATTTAACAAACATTAGCTAATTTTTCGGCTCACAAACTTGTGTATTTCTTGTTGGTTATTTATGACTTAAATGCACATTTTATTTGGGGAAATTCAACAAAACTTCACTTTATCATATTTTCGAGGTGGCTTAAACGATTGATAACGTTTTCACTGGCTTAATTGGCTTAGAGGTTTTACTTTTATTTAACTATTTTTATTATATATATTTTCTTTTTATTTTCCGTTTGCAGTTTTTGGCCGCACAGCGCGTGAAAAGCCAAGGAAAAGCGAGAAAAGCACGTCCGCACTGGGCGAAGAGCCAGGAGAACCTGAAAATCAGTATCCAACAAGCGGGGCGAATTCGGCTTGCACCCTCTCTCTCTCTCTCTCGGTCCCACCCCCACCGCTGGTGGAGCTTTCCCTCTGCCGTGCTTTTCGGCTCTCTTCTAGCCCTCCCCCCAATGCTCTTTGCCGCTCTCTGGGCGCCGTCGCCCTCGTCTGTGCCATCGTATCCTTTATCCTTATCCTGCCTGTGACATTTACAATGTCAGCCTCCAGAGTTTGGATACCAATTCGCCGCAGCGAAAGAGAGAGAGAGAAGAGCGGAAAAGTTATGGCTTGGGGCCCCAACAAATTTGTTTTTCGGCGTTTTTTATATTCGCCGGAAAACTCCTTTGGGCCCAGAAGCGCTCTTTTGATTTTTAAGCGAGGCAATGCTATGCGTGTTTTGGTGTTGTGCCATTCCGGCAGTCATATGTTTGTCACTCACCTACAGTGTAAAGAGGAGGGTATGTGAATGTATACAGGTAAATAATATAATCATATTCAATATAATTTAAAAAGTATATATCAAAAACAATTTTTTAATAGTAAATATTTATACTTAATATTTATCAAATTTTTTATATGCAATTTTTTGACAAATCAAATTATAAAAAACTCTTAACTGAGCCAAGAATGCATTAAATTCAATTCAGATAACTTTTTTATGTTAGTTTTTATTAATTTAATAAATCGATATACTCAAATATATATATATATATAATTTTTTTTGCCAATTTGTTGTAACCCCTTATCTTTTTTGAAAAATTCAAACAAATCAAATTAGACAAGGAATATATTTTTTAATTTGAATTTTAACTTAAGTCTTTTATTCATTCTTTTTCCCCTTTTATTTAATCTATTTCTACTTTTCTCGGTCTAGCTTTCACTGTAAAATTCTACAAATTAAAACTCTCGAATTTCATGTCATCATAAATAATGACCACTTATAAAAATAATCAATATATCTTCTATTAAATTTTCCTATTAAAGTTAAAGTCCAGGCTAATAGCTATATAGTTATGATATATGTAGTTTTCCTGTGTTTTTGGTAGCTTTGAGCTGTTACCTGTTAGCCTGAAATAATTAAAAGCTTCTATTTCTCAATCCATTCATGTGTGAGCTGTGATTTTGTGAAAAGCTTGAATAATACGATATTATTACTTAGCGAAATATGGGTATTTTAAAAATAAAATAATGTGTATAGAATTTTAGTATTGTTCAAGTCCAGTGGGGATTTTAATAATTAAGAGTGATTATTACTAGTTCCATTATTCACTTGCTGTTGGTGTAAATAATCTTTTTCCCATACTTGCAGACTTTTTGCCCAGTGTTATAGTGCACCCGAAACCCATTCAAGTTTAGGTTAAATAGGATTCGAATACAAGGCCTAAATCACGATGGGTCTGAGTGGGTGGTCGGGCAGCCACAATACACCCTTTCAGCGGGACATCAGGTGGCCTTGGCCTGCTCATGGGTTTGTCATTACGGGCGCGTGCCTTTTGGCCGGGAAATTGAGCCACTGCTATGACTGATAAGTGGGCTATTGGCCAGGCAATGCCCTCCATGCCCAACTGTGCTGACTTCCTCAACCCGAAAGCAATTGCTTTATAATTCAATCGCTGACGTCGTCTCTGCTCCAAGATCAAAGAGGTTCCCTAATTATCCAGCTGTGCTTCAGTTGATTGATGGTCTGGCTTTTGCCTTTGTGGTGCACTCGTTTATTTTGGTGGTTAACTGGTTACTGGGTGCTTGTGTGGTGCTACTTATGCTAACTTATGATTTTAGTTAATTAGGTGAAAAAGTGCGAGGAAGCTGGTGTTTGTGGATAGTCCCCGGGATGCTCTCTCCTCTCTCCATAGAGGGCATGATCATGCTCCACCTGACAGGGATCCATGCTGGGAGTGGGCATCGCTTGCTGTGGCATTGGCCTTTCCTCATGCAATACAGTTTCCACATCCTCCGGATATCGAAGCTGCTGCGAATGGGCTCTAATTCCCTTTCCCTGGGATACTGGCTCTCATCAGACTCTTCGATGCTTTCGGCATGGGATAATAGTCTCCTTGCTGGCACTGGGGCAAAATTTCTTTCGGGTATCAGTTGCCGTGGATTTTGAATCCTTTGACCTGGACCCACTCGTCTCATGTCCCAAAATTGCTGTGGCTGATGCGGATTTCTTATTGGATGATGATCAACTTCATCTACACAATCCAGTCCCCTTACTATGTTGTTCATATAGATCGAATGGGGAAGACGTTTCCTGTACTTGGGTCGTGGTCTGGGGACTATTTGCTTATTGGATATAAAATAATCCTTTTGCGGAGGTCTTATCCTTGTCGGTCGATGAAGTGGCTTGGCAATGTTACCTTCATACAATATGGGTTCTACATAGTTTTTCACGGGCTTCCGATTACGATATGGTATTTGAATTCGTTTTGGAGCTGCAGGTTTTGAGAGGATATAATGTTTTTCTATTTCTATTCTTTAGAGAATGTAAATATATTACTTACCATTCTGATGTCTTTGTGCTGGCATAAACTGGGGACATAAATTTGTGCCTTGCTCCTCGGTATCCTCACATGGTTCTTCCATAGAGGTAACACCCTTACCTTCAGAACGATCAGAAGCTAATAATTAATAGTTACAGAATTGAATATTAAAATTTTCTTTAAATACATTAAATCTCTCTACGACTTACCTTCACCTTCGGCATCTTCACTTTCTGGGAATTCTGTTAGCTTTGTGGTCTCCACTTCATCTTCGCAACTGTCTTCGGTGGTGGTTTCCGGTTCGGAAGTGGTAGTAGTCGTAATAGGCATGACCGTCGTGGTATTGTCTTCTTCCGGTGTGAGCCTCATTTCGGCTGCATTGGTGGGCAGAATTACATGAATAACCTCACTGGGCTGGGTGGCACCATCTATCTTGATCTTTGGCGGATCGGGGACTTTTGGGGTTCCTTTTTTATAACCCTTTCGATTCCTCCTCCGGATCTGTGCGGCTCTTAGGCGTTTTAATTGATTTTCAGTAAGTGGTTTTTCCGTAGTTGTTGTGTAGCTTGTTGTTTTTGGTGTTGCTTGATATTGTTTTGTTGAATATTGTGTTGTGGGGTATTCAGGTGTAGTTGTCTCCTGTTCTGTTGTGGTTGTTGTAGGATCTTCTGTTGTCTCCGAGGTGGTTTCTTCCGGCATCGTAGTTTCTTCTACAGTTGTGGTTTCCACTGTCGTTGTTGTTGTTGTTGATGTCGTGGAATTTGGTTTGAGCTTTCTAGTTTTGGGTACATATTTTCTGATATTTATGATTTTCGAGTCGGGTTTTACTCCTGTTGTTTCCATCGTTGTTGTAATGGTTGAAGGTGTCGTTGATGATGTAGAATTCGACTTGGGTTTCCTAGACTTTGGAACTAATCTTGTGAGTTTTATAAGCTTTGGGGTGGTTTCTGGCATTGGTGAAACTGTGGTTGAATTTATTTGTAAAGCTGCTACCGATAATTGTGGTGAACATATAGTTGGATTTTCTGGAGAACATTCTGTTGAATTGTTGCTTGTGGACATTCTGTCCTTTCTTTGTCCCTTGGGGTTGCACTTCTTTTTAGGATTCCTGGAGGTTTTTGTTGCCTCAGCTGACGAAGAGAAATTGGCGCATGGATCCTCTTTTAGAAGCGGTGTCCTTAGCAGCAGTAATCTCACAAAACATGGATGCTCAACGGGTATCTCTGCCTGATAGGGTGTAATGAAATCCATGCACTCCTCGCTGTCGTCATCGAATATATCACCGAAAGGCTCCTGGGATCCACTTTCATCACAAGCTGCTTGCATGAGGGAAACGTCCTTCTCATCGCAGTGAATTGAGGGAGCTGGCAAAACTGATATATCCCTCAGATCCCGGCCATTACTAGGATAGCCTTCGGCCTCTCTCAGCATCATTTCCATCAGTTGAAGCTCCAAGGGAGTACTAGTTGGGGATTAGGCCATTAGGGGTATTAATTCTGTTCGAGAAGCTCTATCAACTCACCCATAAACTGAAGGTCCGAGCAGTAGCACCCACAACCAGAACAGCAGCAGCATCATAATCGGTCGAGTGTTTGGCCCGATGGTTTCCATGGAAATGTTGCCCCAACCCGTTCGACATTTGGCTTTTGTTGAGTTCACGTATCTGTCGGATGCAGTATGCTGCGCGCTCTCTCACCTTTTGCCAATGGAGACATCGTATTTTTAGATCTGTAAGCCACCCACCCAGCCACCCCTGCCCCCGTAATAAAATCATAGTTCTATAGCTCTGTGGTCAGCTTTCTCATTAGACTTTTGTCATCCGTCTGGGCGGCGTCTTGGTTGCTCTGCTTTTGTTTTCACTTTCGTTCACTACGTGACCTGTGCTGAGTTCGGCAGTTTTTTTGTTTGGGTTTTATTCACCAATTCGTTCATACTTTGGTGTTGTCGTATGAGATACCCTGTAAATAAGAGAGTATGTTGAACCAGATTTAAAGAAAAATGTAATAATAATATCCATAATGATTTTCAAGAAGTTCACGGAAAGAAATTTTATATTAAAGGAGTAAATATTCAAATTAAATATATTATCAAACTTCTGAAAATATCAAAACCCTTAAAAGAGCCTCAGTTGTGTTCTCAAGGTATTTTTTTATTGGGTATCCTTAGTCAACTCTCTACCAATTAATTTATTCTCGTTCTATACTCGTATTTTTTATTTACCTAATTTATTTAATTTATTATTGTTACCATTTGATCCCACGTCTCGTTCGTCTCGTTTCCGTTTTTATGCTAATTACTTTTATTGTCGCTTTCGTGGGGAGTAAAAAAAACCCAAATTGTGGCCAGAAGGGGAGGGAATCCATGGCACCATGGGTCTGCCTACCAAGAAATTAATACCCATCAAATGGTTGTGGTTTCTGGCCGAAGCTTTAAGAATTTTCTGTCATTCTTTGGTCGGAACTGGCATTCGGAAAACATCTGTGGAATTGGAAAAGCAGTTGCCAACTGTCTGCAATTAAAATAATGGCATAACATATCTTTAACTATGCAGTTTATATAATTAAGCAATCATCGGATTTGCTTAATTGAATTTTAATATTAGATTACCGTTTATTTATACAGTTCGTGACAATTGCTGGGGAAAGTGTGATTGAGAGATGATTGATAAAAGTGGAAAATAAAGCTTTCTCTGGGTGATGTAATATTATTCTAAAGAGGAAATGATTGCTCAGGTCTGTGCCTTTTCTGATTTCATTTTAAAATACAAATTTCCTTCTTTAATTCAACATATTCTTTGCAACTTTAAGTCATACAAATTTCTTGAAGCAAAAAGTGAGTCAATACACAGGCCTTATAAATTATTTAATGTATTATGATAGCTACATATACGAAATATTTGCAGCTGCCTAACATTTCCTTTGGGGAACACTTGAAATAAAATATACAAAAATCGTCCCTTCCACCTTAACTTTTCGACCTTGTTTCCGTCACATTCCAAAATGTCAGCAAGGAGAAATACGTGTTTGGGAATGAGCTTAGGGCGACTTTCGGGGCTTGTCATTACCAAATGGCATTCGCGTGTAATTTGTCTTGTCTTGCTGAAGGAATCTTCACGATTTTCCAGCTGCTTTATGTAAAAATCTGAACTCACTCGAGGCGTTTGTTCTCAATCAATATTTGTCCGCAAGCAAAACAATTTCCAATCAAATAAGGACCGCAAAGTCTGAAGTTTACATAGAAATATTGTTTTTTGAAGAGCTCTTATTAAATGAAAACCTCGTGGCTGATATTTTTAAAAGGTTTGCCCTTTTTTCCCCCGAATAATCTGCGTTATCCTAGTTATTCAGAACATGCAACAGTTTTTCGGGACTTAACACGCAACTCTACCTAAATAATGTTGACAGAGGCGTATCAAAGTGGTTACGGGACTTGGCAGGACATGAAACATGACAGATGGCTCAAATGGCTCAAAGGCGACAAAATAATATAGCAAATAAAGGACAGTAATCCTTCTTATACCAAAATTGACATGGAATTTATTGTAAATTTTTTCTAAGAAAAGAAATGGTAGAATTTAACTAAAAGATTTAACTTAAGGATGTAATTGATTTCCATTTTTATGCTTAAGTTTAAATTATATAGGGCTGAGCTTATGTTTATCTTGCTTGAATATCTAGAAATATTTTTTGAGGATTTCAAGAGGCTTTTGTTTCTCTTATCGATGCCTGACTGTACCCACAACTCAATTTGTTAAAGTCTTCTCCAGACCAGAGTCTCAGTGCCTTTCTGTGGGGTTAGGTTAGGTGGTTTTTGGGGTCTCTGTCCCGGGGTTTCGATTTCGATTTGGGTTTCAGTCTCAGTCTCAGTCTCAGTATCAGTCTGTGTCTCTGTCTCGTGCTAAGCAATGTCGCGTGGACATCGTGAGCCGTCAATTTAACAATTGATAAAAACCAGTTATCTAACACTTGAGTTTGTTTTTGCTTACTTCGGTTCTGTCAGGTTTGAAGCTGTTGAAACGGCCTCAGGTGGGACACTGACACTGATACCGGAGCGATCAATGTAACCGGCCGAAAGTTGATAAGAGTTTGCCATTTTGTTGCCATTGGCCATGATGAAGTTGAAGTATTTTATGGCGGCACTACGTTAATTGACCAAATGTTTGCATGCGTGCATAGGACCTAATGTTTAACGAACTTTCAAGTGTCTCGATGAAGAACTATATTGCAAGGGTACATATCTATGTCCACAGGAAATTCACTAATTGATTTCATAAATAAACTTTAGATCCCTAGAAAAATATATGCTAATTAATGATTTATTTAATTATACTAATTAATACCCAAACTTTATGTTGGAGAACTTAATATTTTACCTGACGAATTATTTCATATATTAAGAAATTATACCTTTATTACTTCCTGATTTTATTGTTATCTGCTTTGGATATGAAGAGCGAAGGATTTTTATTTACAATTTTACATTCACCGTTTTGCATTTTCCTCTATTTTTAACGATCGATTTTATAGAAGCTATATGATATAGTTGTCCGATTTTCAATAAATTTTACGCTAAATTAAGGATTAATATATAATGGCAATATATCAAATTTCATGAAAATCTGTTGAAAACTGGAAAAGTTATAATTGTTTTTTCTTAAAATTTTCGATCGTTCTGTGACACATGTGAGCATACGATATGATTCCCAATTGGTTCTAACATCCCCGGAACGAAGTGACTTCTACCGGCCAAGTCTCAGAAATGTGTTGTTACAAAAGTTCCAAGTCATTGTTTATTGGTGTTCAAAGTTAGTAACTGATTAACTTACTTTCTGGACATAGATACTTCCTGGTCAATGTTATTCCCTAGTCAAAGTTACTTACAGTTCATTGATAGCTACTTACTTGTCATTGTTAATCACTGATCCTAGTTACTTACTGATTGTAGGTAATTACTGAACAAAGTTCTATAAATCGTCCGATAGTTCCTAAGGCAGCAATATATATGTATGATATATATATAGTCCACCAATTCGCCCTGCTCCGACTTATATACTAGTAAAATTATATAGAAGAATAAATCCATAGTTTCACTCAAATAGCTTGCTCTTAAATTTGTGCCAAAACAAATCTCGCACATTTGGGCATACGATATGATTCCCAACTAGTTCTAACATTCCCGGAACGAAGTGAGTTCTGCCGGCCGAGTCTCAGAAATGTGTTGTGTTACAAAAGTTGCAAGTCATTGTTTATTAGTGTTCAAAGTTAGTAAGTGATAAACATACTTACTGGACATAGATACTTCCTGGTCAATGTTACTCCCTAGTCAAAGTTACTTACAGTTCATTTATACTTACTGATCATAGTTAATAATAGCTCATAGTTACTTGCTGGTTATAGTTAATCGCTGATCATAGTTACATACTGATCGTAATTACTGATCAAAGTTCTATAAATCGTCCGATAGTTCCTAAGGAAGCAATATATATGTATATATATAGTCCACCGATTCGCCCTGCTCCGACTTATATACTAGTAAAATTATATAGAAGAATAAATCCATAGTTTCACTCAAATAGCTTGCTCTTAATTTGTGCCAAAACAAATCTCGCACATTTGGGCATACGATATGATTCCCAACTAGTTCTAACATTCCCGGAACGAAGTGAGTTCTGCCGGCCGAGTCTCAGAAATGTGTTGTGTTACAAAAGTTGCAAGTCATTGTTTATTAGTGTTCAAAGTTAGTAAGTGATTAACATACTTACTGGACATAGATACTTCCTGGTCAATGTTACTCCCTAGTCAAAGTTACTTACAGTTCATTGATACTTACTGATCATAGTTAATAATAGCTCATAGTTACTTGCTGGTTATAGTTAATCGCTGATCATAGTTACATACTGATCGTAATTACTGATCAAAGTTCTATAAATCGTCCGATCGGTCCAATGACAGTTATATAAATGTCTATATATATAGTCCACCGATTCCCCTGCTCCGACTTACACACTAGTAAAATTATATAGAAGAATAAATGCATAGTTTCACTCAAATAGCTTGCTCTTAAATTTGTGCCAAAACAAATCTCGCACATTTGGGCATACGATATGATTCCCAACTAGTTCTAACATTCCCGGAACGAAGTGAGTTCTGTCGGCCGAGTCTCAGAAATGTGTTGTGTTACAAAAGTTGCAAGTCATTGTCTATTAGTGTTCAAAGTTAGTAAGTGATTAACATACTTGCTGGACATAGATAATTCCTGGTCAATGTTACTCCCTGGTCGAAGTTACTTACAGTTCATTTATACTTACTGGTCATAGTTAATTATAGCTCATAGTTACTTGCTGGTTATAGTTAATCACTGATCATAGTTACATACTGATCGTAATTACTGATCAAAGTTCTATAAATCGTCCGATCGGTCCAATGACAGTTATATAATGTATATATATAGTCCACCGATTCGCCCTGCTCCGACTTTTATACTAGTAAAATTATATAGAAGAATAAATCCATAGTTTCACTCAAATAGCTTGCTCTTAAATTTGTGCCAAAACAAATCTCGCTCATTTGGGCATACGATATGATTCCCAACTAGTTCTAACATTCCCGGAACGAAGTGAGTTCTGCCGGCCGAGTCTCAGAAATGTGTTGTGTTACAAAAGTTGCAAGTCATTGTTTATTAGTGTTCAAGTGAGTAACTGATCATACATACTTACTGGTTATATGTAGATACCTATTGATCATATTTACTTACAGGTCATAGATACTTATTGTTCAGAGTTACTCACTGCTCATAGTTACTTGCTGCTCATACATAGTTGAATACTGGTCATAGTTAATTACTGATCATAGATCTATAAATTGTCCGATTGTTCCTATGTCGGCTATATATATGTTTATATATAGTCCACCGATTTGGCATTCTCCGATTTATAACTTGTAAAAGTATATAAAAGATCAACTACATTGCTTAATTCAAATAGCTTGCCTTGAACTTGTTTCAAAACAAATCTCTCACACTTGTGCATATGATTCTCAACTTGTTCTAACACCCCCGGAACGAAGTGACTGCTGCCGGTCAAGTCTTAGAAACGTGTTGTGTTACAAAAGTTGCAAGTCATTGTTTATTAGTGTTCAAAGTTAGTTACTGATTATACATATTTACCGGTCATAGATACTTACTGTTCAGAGTTACTTACTGATCATAGTTACTTACTGGTGTTCAGAGTTAAGTACTGCCCATAGTTAAAACTTGATCACAGTTATTTGCTGATCATATTTAGTTACTTATCATAGTTACTTAATGTTCATTAATACTTACTTATCATAGTTACTTAGTGGTCATAGGTTCTTACTTACTTTTTGAATTAAAATTAATGTATTTATGGCTGTTTTGTGATAGGTATTAGATCCACTTCCCTTCAATTACAATCTACAAGGGTATATAAACTTCAGTTTCCCTAATTTGCTACCTTTATTATTTATTTTTAAATTAATTGATATTTATATAAACATACATATGTATATGCTAAAAGTTCCTTCAGAAATGCATCAAAAATGCTTAATGTTCCATTTTCTACATGTTTCCTACAGATACTTTACTACATTTTATGGCGAGTCCCATAAACGGTTTGAGTCTCGGCTAAATCTGTTGCATGCATTCTGCGTTTAAAAACGCCCCAAAGAATCAAGTGATTTAAACCGCTCGAAATTCCATATTAATAATTTTAATTAAATTTTAGAAATCTATAATAATTAATTAAAACATCAGCATTTATTTTTATGTGAAACTTTTTATTTCATTTCAGTTTTGTATTTTTTTTTGGTTTGTTTTGTATGTTTAAATACTTATTAAAATTGTTTTTGTTTTTTATTTTTCGTTTTTGTTGCTGTGTGTGTGTTATTAGCGTCTGCTTTTTTCTGGTTGTTGTTGTTCTTTGTGTGTGTGTGTTTGTGTTTTTTTGTAGATTTTCTTTTTTGCTAAATAATGTTTTGCCATTTTTTTTAGATTTTTTTTTGTTCCTTTGCGACGGTAGCTAATAATGTTCACTATATAGTAATTACATATATAGAAAGATGCATGTATGCGCTTGTGTGTGTATGTGTGTGTGTATGAGTATGTATTGTGTGGGTGAGAGTTTTTCAGTAAGTTTTCAGAGAGTTTTCTATCGTTTTGCATATCATTTCGTTCATTTTGCTTATATCATTTCAATAATATTTCGTTTGCTTAGTTAGGAATGGAAAAAAATTACAAGCCATAAATGAAGGTAGAAAAAAACTTTACAAATTACATTTTAAATATATAGAGAGAGAGAGAGAGCTCAGAGGTGTGGAAAGAAAGTGACAGCTTCAGAGACTTTGAGAAGTGAAGGAAGAGAAATGAAAGACGTCTCTCCGTCTATTTACAAAAGTATTTATCCTCATAACGCTGACAATAGTCGCAGATCAGCTGACAGCATCTTCCATTGTTAAAACGACATCGACACTTTTCCACATGCTTGAACTCCTTGGTGGTGTAGCCACGCCCACAGCACAGGGTCCCACAATTGTCCGGATGCAGGCATTGGCGATCCTTGGTGACCCCGCAGTAGGAGGGCGAGGTCTCCAGATAGTACAGTGTCGTATATTGTGATTGTTGTGGCTATAAAGAGGGAGGTGACATATTCATTAGTTAACTGACCGGAAACGGAAGTGGGAACTTAAAGTACTCACTTTCTTGCGTCGCTGCTTTGGCTTTTTCATGCGACTCGATGAGGCCTGTCGCATGGAACGCTGATTGGGCGCCTTGCGAATGGCCTCATTGTACTTTTTCCTTAAAAGCGTGGCCGTGGCATTGAAGTCTGCCATTTTCTTCCAGCAGGTTTTCATCGAACAGGAGCCAGAGACGCCATGGCATTTGCACTTGTCCATCATCAGCGAGGAGACGGCCTCAATGCCGACCTGTAAGTAAACAATTAATCCCTTAATATATAATATTTTTCTTTATTTTTTCCTTTCTTTGCTCACCTCAGAGTCATGTCGCAATATCTCGCTGACCTCGTCCCCATCGCCGCCGCGTAAGTCCAGAAAACTTCGTGTCACCCTCTTGCCATGCTTCAGATTATCATTGCATCCTCCCCACTGGAAATCCTGCGCCTCCCGATTATGTTTCTTGGGCCACAACTGCATTTGGTCATCCTGCCCTCGGCACAGGCCCTGGCTATTGAGTGTGTCATGGCAGCAGCTGTGAGTGCATGCACAAAGGCCGTCTCCTTGTACAGCTTCTTGAAGATATTCCGCTTGCCACGCGTCTCAATCGAGCAATTCCAGCGATCGTAGCGGAACTGCTCCTCACAGTGACTGGTGGCCAGGCGTCGGGCCTCACTCAAGGTTCCCGGTAATCCTGTCTCCTTGCGGCATTGATGATTCTGTCGCCGAGTGGCGGGCATATACCTGCAGGGTCCACCCACCTGACCCTGGGATGTGAATACCGCCATCACTGTGTGCTCCGAGATGAAGTGTTCGCTGAAAGGGAGAGAAAAGAAGGTATTTGGGTAAGTTTTTTGTTGCTAATTTTATTATTTTTATTTGGTATTTTTATTATTTAATGACTTACAAATATTTTTTTGTTTATAAATAATTTATTAATAGTTTTATTTCCGTATAAGCTAGGCTTTATCATTTAAATGAATTTTACACGAATTTTACAATTGGGCGACATACTGGCTCCACCTAGGATTTGTTGTTGTATGTTGAACAACACAGATGGCGCCACACAAACTTCTAAAAGACTGCAAATTCAAATTTAGAAGAGTTTTTCAGCCATAAATCCCACGAAAAACGGCTTTAAACATTAATGATTAACATCGACAATATTTATAGATTACCAAGTATATTCATAAAAATTTAATTTGTTTATTACCAATGATAAAACATCAGTCCCACCCAAAACTTTTAACTTTTATTTGATTTACAAAGTTACAACACAACTCGGCGTATGCTTTTCCTTATCAGTTTTTTGGCTTCTTAGAATGGGCGGAAGGAATTTCGTTTTAATTGGTCTGTGTGCTCCATCAATTTCCAGTTATTTTGGGAGCTTCTTATGGGAACGAACGAGTGCGAGTCTTTTTTTTTATTATTTCAAAAAAGATGCCGCCTGTGCAGCTCACCTCACCCGCTGCTTCCTGTCCAGCCCCACGGCATCGGTTATCATTTTGTGGCACTCTGGACTCCCTCCCGAGGGGTTGCTTCGTTTTAGAGTATGCTGATTTGCAGGAAATCTTAAATTCCCATAAAACTTAAGTGCATCGTAAATTGGCGTATGAGTAACGAGCTCAGCATATCTGCGGCTATCGCACTATCTGACTATCTGACTATTTCCGTCTCCGTCCTCGCCTCGAGGCACAGATTTTCCTCATCACAGGGAGAAAAAATGTTTAAAAAACTTGAAACCAAGTAATACAAATCAAGTTTTCTAAATCATATTAGATTGGAAGCAAACCACCCAGAAATACACTATATAATATATAAAACATCTTGAAAGAATAAACTAAAATGCTCAAAAAAATAATATTTATGTCCCATTTTAATATTTTTTAACTGATTAAAAATTCTTCTCAGTGCACAAGTATGTTCCTCTGATTTCTCCGGTTCATCGTTCTCGTGGATTCTCCTCCACTTCGATCTCAACTTTCGCCAACTCACAGAGAGTCTGTTAATAATATTCCATTTGGGATTTGTTCCACATTTTCCCGCGTGCCCACTACTTTTTTTTTATGTGAAATTAATTTGCCACATTTTCGCCATTAATTAATTAATTGAATGTTTGAAATGTTTACAAGTTGTTTGCTTAGGCTCTCGGCAACACTTTGCCACAATTGTTTGGATACACAAATCCGCATGCTGCGGCTGGCCAATTTTTATCTATTTATCTCCCGCTGCTTTATTTCGTTATTTGACGTAGTTTTCCCGCTTGATTAAAATATCATTTGTCGATTGACGGAAAACTAGTCTGGATTGGAATTTTATTGGGTGGCCCCAGCAGCACTTACCAGTTCTCAATGAAAAGTCTAGGAAAACTTTAGAAACAATTTTATATATAATTGGAATTTAAATATTTAACGGAAATCTAGTTTACTATAAATTCCCCCAAAGATAAGTAATTAATCGTCCTGAATTTCTACAAATAATTAATAATTTTATTTGTAAGAAAAGTATTATTAACCTAATGTGACATATGTCGATCTGTTGATCTCTGTTCCCTCTGGAGCTCTTTTGTGACTTTATAATGCCCATCGGCCAACACCCTTGGGGTCTTCAATTACGGCTCAAAGCCCGTGTAAGTCGTCGTGTAAGCTTTGTATTGTTATCACATCCGATTGTGTTGTGTTGTGTTTGTTGCAAGTGCAATGCAAAGCGCATTAACGTAAAGCCTGCAACACACACAAACAACTTCCCTTTTACCCATTTCAAGTTTGGATAATGTGTGTCGCCTTAGCCATTGGAAACATTGAGGAATTACAAGCCCTAAGCTCTCAGAGAGAGAGATAGATAGAAGCTCAATAGAGAGAGATAGGGAGAACTGGCAACCGAATCGGAGTTAATCCTTTTGACAAAACGTTTACGGGCCAAAATGGAAAGGCAATTGGCTGGGCAACTGGCTAAAACAATTAGCCAAACAAAGGGGATACAGTTTCCTTTAGAGGTAGTCAGTGCTGGACATATTTTGATTATTTTAAAGAGATGTTTTATATTTTATAAAGAAGTTCTGGTGTTGTTAAATAACTTTTAATTTTTACACTCTTTCATGTGGGCTAAAATAATTCATTACAATTTCTAAATGAAAGAAATCTTCTTAATTTGTATAATTTTACTTTCCCCGAAAGTTTTTTTGCCATCACTGACTCCTGCTTGCACTTTAATTTCACAAATCTCAGCCGCTGGGCAAACTCAAAGAGAGAGATAGATTTGTATCTTTCAGATACAAACTAGTCGAGAGCTATTAAAATGGCCGCAGAGCAAAACAAACCGAATGGTGAAGAGGTAAAGAGTTGGCGGTTAGGCCAAACAACAACAAAACAAATTGATGAACAGACGGATGTGTGCCAGCAAACATATGTACTTAATATATATATTTATACATATATCTAGATATATATGTATATATGTTTTTGTGGGTGTGTGGGAGAGCGCCGTAAAACAAAAGTGTTGATGGATATTTTCCTCGTGCGATGATGACGCTGAAGTTGTGTGCTTCTGAGTGCTCTCTCTTCGCCTCACCTTTCCTTGACTTTCCTGGTTTTTCCCGTGCATTTGTGGAGATTCATCAAATTTTCAGAAACGTAAAATATTCAACACGCACACACACAGGTACCCTGGCTCACAAATATATAAATCCCTTTGTGCTGCGGCAAAAGCATTTTATGGACTTTACAGTTTTTAGTTGCTGCTGTTGCTGCTGCTGCTGATGTTGCCCCAAAGAGCATAGCAAATGTGCAACAGCAACAGGAGGCAAAGGAAGCCACTGCAAGCAGCATCATCCAGCGATTGGAAGCTGTTCGAAAAGCACAAACAAAATACACAGAAAAAAGAAAGAAAAAGAATAACATATTTCACGAAAAAGTTAAGGCAACAAATGTTTTTAAATATAGAATAAAAAATATTTAAATGATTGTGGGAATACCATAATATGAATCAAATATATTTAACATTTTTATGTTAAAAAATAGTGTATTAGTCTTGTTCAATATATAAACTTATCATAAATGTCTTATCTATATTATTTGACTGAATAATTTATAAGTAATTGGTAAAATATAAATGATTTATAAATTGATTATTGATTGATTATTGAAACTAAAATTGGAAGCGTTTAAAGATTTTTAATATTAAAAAGAATATATCGTTCAATTCAATTAAATCTGATATTTATGTTAAAAATGAGAAAGAGAGAGGGTTTGAGCTATGACAGTAGGGCCTTCAGCTCTGGTTTTATATTCACTTAAATATGTTAAATTATTTAAGTAGAATAATATATTATATAAACTATATAAATGTTTTGCCATTCCTTTAATAACTTATTGATTAAATTCAGAAAATAATCTATTATAAATGCTTCAGAAAAAGTGTAACAAATCCATCCATTCTCCAACCTATTTTTTCCCCCTGTGTAGCTGAGGATAAAAACTGAAATCAACACTGGCAGTCGGACATAAAATCTTTTTTAAAGTAGCATAAGCATATCGAAAGCTGAAAAATGCTCTTTCGACTTGAACTTTTTTTTATGGACCTTTTTACCATTTGCATTTTATTGCCAAAACATAAATGCAGCTGCCAGCCACGCACTACCCTCTATACGGGCAGGTTCCTCGCCTCTTTGGCCTTTTTGGCCTCATCCAACGAAATGCATTTGCTTATTTTTAAAACATTTGACTTGCATTGGGCTACCAAACTCTACTCCAGTCGATTTTCGATTTCGTTCGATTATGTTCGAGATCTTTTCTGGGTGGCTTGTTTGTTTGTTCGCTGGTAGGTCTGTTTGCGTTTCCTCTGTTTGCTTTTGGCGTAGCTGTCGCATAACTTACCAAGGCCCGAAATGTTCAATTAAAAACGCAAGTGCAAATACTGTAACCCAATCGGATCGAATCGGTTCGGATCGGAGGAAAATATTGATGAACTTAGGCAGAAGGCGACTCGCTCGGTTGGCTTTAATTGATGGCCGGCAAATGAAGTAGAAGAAGGCGCTGGCCTCTTCTGCTTCAATATGTTTGTGGTTTTTGTACTTTTTTACTTCCTCAGCTGCTTTCCAGCTTCCCAGCTTGCTTGCTTAGCAAGAATGGGGCCAATGAGGCGTCATTTCTACGGGCAATTTGTTAAGAGGCGAGCAATTCCCTCAGATACTATATGTGCACAAATAATCGTTAATAGTAGAGATCATTAAGTCGATACGGCTCGTGAATTTTCAAGAATTATCTTTCGATGTACACAATAAAAAAGGGGGGAAAACAAAAATAAGATAAAAGGGGTGTCACAGAAATATGGTAGATTTTTTGGATACAATATGAAAGCAGTAATTACTTGACTTTATTTTTTCGAAAGGTTTTCAAGTATGCTTATTCCAAAAAAAGGAATCGATAGAATCAACTGTTTTGTATTATTTTAAAGTCGCAACACAAATTTTTCTTGTGTAAACTTTTAAGGAAGGTTTAATTTCGTTTGCTGTCCCATTAATTGCCATAACTCTTTTTCAATAATTCATATGGAAGCCATTTGTTTGGCTTAAAAGAGCTTAACTGTGTCGTCTCCTTTTTGGATCTTGCGAAATCTTTCGCTGAGTCCGCTTCCTGCACCTGTCAGCTTATTTATTCATTCGCTTTATGGCGCACAGAGACACACACTTCAAAATGCGTTGTAAATATTGCTCTTAAGCTGCTAAATTGCAGGCGGTAAAAGCAGCAGTTACAATTGCTTTCAGGCAAAAATAACAACAACAAAATAAATAAAAATAAATAAGAAGCGAGCAAAAT